TGAGATGAAGGAGAACAACAGCCTGATACCTGCAGGCCTGACAGCAGCAGATGTATCACTCCTGTAACCACTCCTGTTGTTCTGACACACACAACACAAAACTATTGACTACACTACACACTAACTACACAAGATTCTCTCTCACATCTCAACCCACCGCCGTCTCTCCTAAAACTTCCTAAACAACTAAATGCCATGTTGCCATCATTTTTTGATTGGTCGACATGGTACATTTTCAGACCAATAGGAAAGGGTGGGGTTTTTTTGGTTTTGTCTTTGCTCACAGGCGGAGCGTGCTTTCGAGCGTTTTCCTTATAAAACGCCGTTTTTACCATCCCCCCCGCAGTAAACAACGACAGTATTCAGGAAGAAAAACAAACATTGCAGATATTTTATCATAACTCTGGTTTTACTGGCCGATCAACACAATTTAAAAACTGGTATAAAGTCCACACTTTTCCCGTCAATTGTTCCGTCTGTCCTGCTCACATCTCCAATGGTTGTACACGTCGTCATTAACGTGGCTTCACTCCACATCAGCCGCTTTGCTAGCTAAAACACTGGTGTCTGCACATAAGGACGCTGTGATAGCGTCCTTATGTGCAGGCAGGCTATATATGAATGTGAATCGCATTATTGGCTGGACTATGGGATAATGTGGCATTGTTCTAATCCCATACGGGAGCAGCCAGTCACTTACTGACTAACACTGCACAGAGCTCGCAAAATCGCTAGCCCGACGTCCCAGAGCTAGTGATATCTCCGGTCGGGCGACCAAAATCTATCTCAGCCCCGCCCGTCGGGCTATATGATAACCCAACGGGCGGGGATAACGAGATAACAGCAGCTTTTCCATCCTGGGCTCCTCCATACATAAAGAATCCACATTCACAAACAAAAACCACAGAAGTTATAAGAAAACACAACGATCATATTTTCAGCACACATTGAAACAACAACATCATCAGTTGGACTGCCCATTTTTCATGAAATGAAAGATTTTCTCCAGCGATCAATATTTCTTCAGTTATGTTATTTTAATTCCAATTCTCATTGTAGCACGTCATTGTAATGTGAAACTATCAACAAAATGTGGTGGCAACACACCTAGAACTTGTTTGTTGACATCTTTGATTCCACTAATGGAGTTTCAGTTTGTTCCACGACTGCATTTCACTCACTGCCTCTGTTTGTATCTCTGTCACTGCAGGACCAACATGGAGCGAGAAGTCAGCGCTCTCAGGAGGACGACAAACCTCACACAAGAACGGGAGAGAAAAGATACAGCTGTGATGAGTGTGGGAAGAATTTTACTGGGGCTGGACACTTAAAAGCACACAAACTCATCCACAGTGGAATTAAAGCACACAGCTGTGAGCTGTGTGGAAAGTCTTTTGCTCAGGCTGGAAGTTTAAAAACACACAAACTCATCCACAGTGGAATTAAAGCATACAGCTGTGAGCTGTGTGGAAAGTCTTTTACCCAACCTCAAGGCTTAATATCACATCAGCGCAGCCACAGTGGAATTAAAGCACACAGCTGTGAGCTGTGTGGAAAGTCTTTTAAGACGGTTGGACACTTAAATAGACACAAACTCATCCACAGTGGATTTAAACCGTACAGCTGTGATCAGTGTGGCAAAACTTTTGCTCGCAGTAAGAGCGTACAACTTCATCAAATTGTCCACACTGGAATTAAGCCGTACAGCTGCGACATTTGTGGAAAAACCTTCCGCTGGCGACTCAGCCGAAATAATCACCTACGCATTCACACCAAAAATGATGTTTACTGCTGTGATCAGTGTGGCAAAGTGTTTGTGGTATACAAAGAATTAAAGCAGCACATGTTTACCCACACTCAGGAGAGACCATATAAATGTGACCTCTGTGATAAGGCTTTTAAAGAGCCACGTTCCCTGAAATCACACCAACAGATCCACACCAGAGAGAAACTCTACAAGTGCAGTTACTGTGAGGTATGTATTTATATTTTTACAGATGCAGTTATTTTGAAGTATTATGTGAATTAAGTTTAATTTCAAAGCTAAATGAGACATGAAAACGTCATGTTCAGAATCTTTCCTGATGTTGGACAAACGTAAAGTTTTAAAAGCTTCTCCCCTTGCTGTCTATCTAACATTCACACTTGGGGAAGCTTGGGGTTAGTATCTTGTGACATGCAGAGTAGAGCATCCATCGATTTAACCAACAATCTTCACATGAAGTGGTTTACTTACAAATGAAGAGTCATTTTCGCCCAGTACACTGAGTGTTACAAAATGTAATTGGATGTTGGCAGAGATGCTCTTTATTTCAGGCGACATTCAGGATAAAAATGTTGAAGGAATTGCCTGACCTTCACTGTCTTTGTGTCTTTGTTTAGAAGCAGAGCGACACAGATGGATCCAGTTCTCAACCCTGCGGTCACTGTGGTGGTGGGAAAGCGTTTTACTGTGACCTTTGTGGAAAAACTTTCAGTCAGCAGTGGTGCCTAACATTACATCAACGTAGACACACTGGAGACAAAATGAATTACTGCAACGAATGTGGGAGAGGCTTCCCCACACCAAGTACATTAAAAATACATGAGCTTATTCACAGTGGAGTTAAAAAGCACATCTGTGACCAGTGCGGGTCATCCTTCACCACTGCAGGTCATCTCACACAGCATAAACGCGTGCACACAGG